CCATGTATGAGGATACCCAACCTAGGGACCAGAGATCCTGTAACTAGGTTCAATGGGAAGAACGAATCATATGGTGGTTGTAAAAATGCACTCTTTAATATTTTGTTATCCATCCCTATGATGTAAGTGCATTTGTCCTGTAATGTTGGAGGGTTGAGTTTTTATACTCTTAATGAAATTCTGTAGCTCTTGTTGAGTGGGGTGTGTAAATTACAGGAACATCCTTGACAGATTTCACCTATGTGAGCATGAAAGTGGGGCCGCTTTCTATGAGAACTAGGCTTATTCTCAAATATGCTCATGAAAACTGGGATTAGAACAAGGCTGTAATGTGGTGGCTATTAAAAACTCATGTCAATATCTGGATTATTATGTGTGAGCAGTAATACTTTATTTTTCCTAAGTAGTCATAGTTCAAGTCTGAGACCACTACTGACTCTGGAGTAGAGGTTGCTGTTTCACTAATGAAGGTTCAATGCAGAGCACACCTTCATGATGCATACTAGTCTATCTTTGTTTGGTAATCTCTTTTATCCTTGTTGATATTAAAATGAGTGGGGGATTGTTGGACCATTTTAATATCTTATATTTATTTATTGGTTTATCTTTTTCTTAATGGGGTTTTATTACTTTGGTAACCTCTTGGTAATAAATAGAGGTTTAATAGAATTTATGAACCTGGTTAATGGTCATTATTTTGATGTAACCATTTTCTTGTTTAATGGTCATTATTTTTGGTGTAACTGTAAGGTCCTTATAGCCTATATATATAGTCTACTCTTTTCTATCTATAGAGATAAGCTATTTTCTATACAAGAGAGATTACTAGCAAAGAAGGGTGTTTTATTAGTGGAGCTTTGGGTTCACCATCTTGTGCAGAGTTGGCCTGAACCATACGACAAGTGGTCGGGCTGTTGTATCCTGGAGGGGACAAGTCATAGTATTGTGACTGCTGCATCGGTATTTGGATTCTTCCTACCGCAGTGGGCTTGATCTCCTTAAAGAAAACGAGATATCCGTGCCTCAGCCTGATCTATTTGTATCTCATTTTCTTTGCATCATTTATCAATAATATTGTTTAGTTTCTGGTATTTTCTCCAACAGTTATACTCTTCTCATATCATGAAATTGTGATTGTCCCACTCATTGCCATTGCCAGAGAAGTGTATGGAATCGAATGTTTGCCATCGTTGCTGTTGCAATATCACCGCCAGTGGGTTCTCAAGGTTTTGAGAGCAGGGTTTGGGAAAGATGCATAGGTGATGATGGAGTTGGATGCTTTCATAAACCCTATCTAATGATTTAGTGGCTGTGAGCTTAATTGTGAGATGGAGTGTCCTAAAATGATTGATGTTCTCTTTATTGTAATAGAAAAAATCAAAAAATGAAAGGTCCAAAACAATAAATAGAGTATTAATAACAACACTCATTTCAATTTATTTAGACTGATTACAACACTACTTATATATAATTTTCCTTTCAATTGATCCCCACATGATTTTTTATTTATTATTTTTATGTATTTATTTATTTTGAGGGGGGGGGGGGGGGGGCCTCTGGCCTCAAGCAATAAAAAAATATTCAGCCTATTACAATTGAAAGTAAAAATTGATATGCCAAGAACCATAACAAAATGGAGTTTGTTTAAAACATATTGGGGAAATTATACCAATAAAAATTCAGAGTTTGACCTTTATAAATTAAATTTGCATTTATAATTTTATCAATTAAAATTCTAAACTTTTTATTTGTTTTCAATTTAAACCATCTGCCTATTTTTCTTAAATAAAATCGATAAAAAAATTAATATTTTAGTCATTAAACTCTATTAAGCCACTACTATTTTGTCTCACTTTCAAAATTTGTAAAGTGGGCTCAGAAATTAATCAAAGTCAGTTTGTCATTGAATGTATTTTCCGAAGCATTGGACTGATTGATCAATATATATATATATATATATATTTGTTTTTTGTTTGCCAAACAAAAAAGAGATTTTATTCATTACAGAAAAGAAATTAACCCACATGGCTCCCATTATTACATAGTTTATCTTATCTAAACATCATATGACATAACATGAAACAGGACTTGAAGCAAATCTTGGAAAATTAGACAAAAAGAGGACTAGAAAATATAGTTTGTACCACATTGAGTACAAGCAACAAAAGAGCTGCAAGAAACAAGATGAGTGCCCATGGAGTGTTGAAATAATCCCGTCTTAAGATCTCCAACCATCAGTTCCAACTCTCCTTGCAATGCTTGTTCACATTGTTATAAACTTCAGGGTAACCCAAAAAAGGTATCACGATATTGTTGCCGAGCTTGCTCAACACAGTGGAAAACACCGCATTGTCACCTAAAAGGTTATGAATAATTCCATGGTGACTCAGTATTTCGACATCTTCTGAGGAGTTCACGAGGAAATCCATGAAGTTCACATATACAGTGAAATAATTCCTTGAAGTATCATGAGCAGGAAGGCAATTCTCGTATAAAATTAAATTTCTAAAGTTGGGATTTCAATTGTCCCATTTGCAAACTTTATGTTGAACAAACTCCCTTCCTCATCCTTCTCGAATTTGATCCCAGCTTCATGGAGCTCTGTCGAAGACTTTAGGAACTTTTCTTTTATTGGAACATTTTGGGATGCCATTGAATGAAATTCAGAGCAACAACAATAATGCAACAGGCCTAGAAGATGTTTGATGTCAAGTTTCTCTAGATCTCCAACAGAAGGCACTGAAAGTACACACAGTTTTGCCGCTTTGAAAAATGCACGGGACATGTGAACGAAGTTGTTTAGTGAGGCTGCAAAATTTTGGGGCATGTTGAACAACTTCATGAGGACAAAGAATGGAAGTTGATTTTCAAATAACATTAAATCACCCCTTATGCTCGATTTAATATGTGCCAATTGGAAAATGGGGTCATCCTTTCGGAGTTCCATATTCAGAAACTTGTGAAATAACTGGATGATGAAGCAACTGTCAAGAAGCATCATTTCCACAAACTCATTTAAATCAAGGCGAATGGGATCTGCGTAAAAGTTGCGTGCCTCTTTTTCCGAATCTCGCATCGCCACTGTAGTTTTCCACACTGGTTCCATTTCTTCTTTCAAGAAACTGTTGCAAGTAACGTAATTCACTGCTGGAAATCGCACTTTTAGCGGCGTTTAAAAAACGCCGCCATATGTATCAAAAACGCCCCTAATTCCTTTTGTGGCGTTTAGTACCAAACGTCGAAGCTGCGGCCGTCGCTGTAGCTTTGCGACGTTTTAAAAACGTCGTGATATTAGTACAGGCGGCGTTTTTTAAAACGCCGCCAAATGTCCCACCACACACACGCTGACGTCACCAACAATATTTAGCGACGTTTTTGAAACGCCGTCGTATCTGTTTTAAAAATATTACCGTTACTGTTGAGGGATTAGGAGGCGTTTGTAGAAACGCCGTCATATCTTCCTTTTTTTTTTTTCTTTTTTTTTGGGGATATTATGCTAATTTTATTTGATTAAATTAAAAAGAATACCTGTAAAAAATATTGAATTTAGTTTCTCATTCAATTAATAAAAAAATACCTATAATAAAACTAACATACAAAATATTAACTCCCATTCAAATATCTGTAATAAAACTAACATTTAAAATAATAACTCCCATTCAAATAACAAATGAAGCATTAATTCAATTTCACATTAAAAAAAAACTAACATTTAAAATAATAACTCTCATTCAAATAACAAATGAAGCATTAATTCAATTTCACATTAAAAAAAAACTAACATTTAAAATAATAACTCTCATTCAAATAACAAATGAAGCATTAATTCAATTTCACATTAAAAAAAAACTAACATTTAAAATAATAACTCTCATTCAAATAACAAATGAAGCATTAATTCAATTTCACATTAAAAAAAAACTAACATTTAAAATAATAACTCCCATTCAAATAACAAATGAAGCATTAATTCAATTTCACATTAAAAAAAAACTAACATTTAAAATAATAACTCCCATTCAAATAACAAATGAAGCATTAATTCAATTTCACATTAAAAAAAAACTAACATTTAAAATAATAACTCCCATTCAAATAACAAATGAAGCATTAATTCAATTTCACATTAAAAAAAAACTAACATTTAAAATAATAACTCCCATTCAAATAACAAATGAAGCATTAATTCAATTTCACATTAAAAAAAAACTAACATTTAAAATAATAACTCCCATTCAAATAACAAATGAAGCATTAATTCAATTTCACATTAAAAAAAAACTAACATTTAAAATAATAACTCCCATTCAAATAACAAATGAAGCATTAATTCAATTTCACATTAAAAAAAAACTAACATTTAAAATAATAACTCCCATTCAAATAACAAATGAAGCATTAATTCAATTTCACATTAAAAAAAAACTAACATTTAAAATAATAACTCCCATTCAAATAACAAATGAAGCATTAATTCAATTTCACATTAAAAAAAAACTAACATTTAAAATAATAACTCCCATTCAAATAACAAATGAAGCATTAATTCAATTTCACATTAAAAAAAAACTAACATTTAAAATAATAACTCCCATTCAAATAACAAATGAAGCATTAATTCAATTTCACATTAAAAAAAAACTAACATTTAAAATAATAACTCCCATTCAAATAACAAATGAAGCATTAATTCAATTTCACATTAAAAAAAAACTAACATTTAAAATAATAACTCCCATTCAAATAACAAATGAAGCATTAATTCAATTTCACATTAAAAAAAAACTAACATTTAAAATAATAACTCCCATTCAAATAACAAATGAAGCATTAATTCAATTTCACATTAAAAAAAAACTAACATTTAAAATAATAACTCCCATTCAAATAACAAATGAAGCATTAATTCAATTTCACATTAAAAAAAAACTAACATTTAAAATAATAACTCCCATTCAAATAACAAATGAAGCATTAATTCAATTTCACATTAAAAAAAAACTAACATTTAAAATAATAACTCCCATTCAAATAACAAATGAAGCATTAATTCAATTTCACATTAAAAAAAAACTAACATTTAAAATAATAACTCCCATTCAAATAACAAATGAAGCATTAATTCAATTTCACATTAAAAAAAAACTAACATTTAAAATAATAACTCCCATTCAAATAACAAATGAAGCATTAATTCAATTTCACATTAAAAAAAAACTAACATTTAAAATAATAACTCCCATTCAAATAACAAATGAAGCATTAATTCAATTTCACATTAAAAAAAAACTAACATTTAAAATAATAACTCCCATTCAAATAACAAATGAAGCATTAATTCAATTTCACATTAAAAAAAAACTAACATTTAAAATAATAACTCCCATTCAAATAACAAATGAAGCATTAATTCAATTTCACATTAAAAAAAAACTAACATTTAAAATAATAACTCCCATTCAAATAACAAATGAAGCATTAATTCAATTTCACATTAAAAAAAAACTAACATTTAAAATAATAACTCCCATTCAAATAACAAATGAAGCATTAATTCAATTTCACATTAAAAAAAAACTAACATTTAAAATAATAACTCCCATTCAAATAACAAATGAAGCATTAATTCAATTTCACATTAAAAAAAAACTAACATTTAAAATAATAACTCCCATTCAAATAACAAATGAAGCATTAATTCAATTTCACATTAAAAAAAAACTAACATTTAAAATAATAACTCCCATTCAAATAACAAATGAAGCATTAATTCAATTTCACATTAAAAAAAAACTAACATTTAAAATAATAACTCCCATTCAAATAACAAATGAAGCATTAATTCAATTTCACATTAAAAAAAAACTAACATTTAAAATAATAACTCCCATTCAAATAACAAATGAAGCATTAATTCAATTTCACATTAAAAAAAAACTAACATTTAAAATAATAACTCCCATTCAAATAACAAATGAAGCATTAATTCAATTTCACATTAAAAAAAAACTAACATTTAAAATAATAACTCCCATTCAAATAACAAATGAAGCATTAATTCAATTTCACATTAAAAAAAAACTAACATTTAAAATAATAACTCCCATTCAAATAACAAATGAAGCATTAATTCAATTTCACATTAAAAAAAAACTAACATTTAAAATAATAACTCCCATTCAAATAACAAATGAAGCATTAATTCAATTTCACATTAAAAAAAAACTAACATTTAAAATAATAACTCCCATTCAAATAACAAATGAAGCATTAATTCAATTTCACATTAAAAAAAAACTAACATTTAAAATAATAACTCCCATTCAAATAACAAATGAAGCATTAATTCAATTTCACATTAAAAAAAAACTAACATTTAAAATAATAACTCCCATTCAAATAACAAATGAAGCATTAATTCAATTTCACATTAAAAAAAAACTAACATTTAAAATAATAACTCCCATTCAAATAACAAATGAAGCATTAATTCAATTTCACATTAAAAAAAAACTAACATTTAAAATAATAACTCCCATTCAAATAACAAATGAAGCATTAATTCAATTTCACATTAAAAAAAAACTAACATTTAAAATAATAACTCCCATTCAAATAACAAATGAAGCATTAATTCAATTTCACATTAAAAAAAAACTAACATTTAAAATAATAACTCCCATTCAAATAACAAATGAAGCATTAATTCAATTTCACATTAAAAAAAAACTAACATTTAAAATAATAACTCCCATTCAAATAACAAATGAAGCATTAATTCAATTTCACATTAAAAAAAAACTAACATTTAAAATAATAACTCCCATTCAAATAACAAATGAAGCATTAATTCAATTTCACATTAAAAAAAAACTAACATTTAAAATAATAACTCCCATTCAAATAACAAATGAAGCATTAATTCAATTTCACATTAAAAAAAAACTAACATTTAAAATAATAACTCCCATTCAAATAACAAATGAAGCATTAATTCAATTTCACATTAAAAAAAAACTAACATTTAAAATAATAACTCCCATTCAAATAACAAATGAAGCATTAATTCAATTTCACATTAAAAAAAAACTAACATTTAAAATAATAACTCCCATTCAAATAACAAATGAAGCATTAATTCAATTTCACATTAAAAAAAAACTAACATTTAAAATAATAACTCCCATTCAAATAACAAATGAAGCATTAATTCAATTTCACATTAAAAAAAAACTAACATTTAAAATAATAACTCCCATTCAAATAACAAATGAAGCATTAATTCAATTTCACATTAAAAAAAAACTAACATTTAAAATAATAACTCCCATTCAAATAACAAATGAAGCATTAATTCAATTTCACATTAAAAAAAAACTAACATTTAAAATAATAACTCCCATTCAAATAACAAATGAAGCATTAATTCAATTTCACATTAAAAAAAAACTAACATTTAAAATAATAACTCCCATTCAAATAACAAATGAAGCATTAATTCAATTTCACATTAAAAAAAAACTAACATTTAAAATAATAACTCCCATTCAAATAACAAATGAAGCATTAATTCAATTTCACATTAAAAAAAAACTAACATTTAAAATAATAACTCCCATTCAAATAACAAATGAAGCATTAATTCAATTTCACATTAAAAAAAAACTAACATTTAAAATAATAACTCCCATTCAAATAACAAATGAAGCATTAATTCAATTTCACATTAAAAAAAAACTAACATTTAAAATAATAACTCCCATTCAAATAACAAATGAAGCATTAATTCAATTTCACATTAAAAAAAAACTAACATTTAAAATAATAACTCCCATTCAAATAACAAATGAAGCATTAATTCAATTTCACATTAAAAAAAAACTAACATTTAAAATAATAACTCCCATTCAAATAACAAATGAAGCATTAATTCAATTTCACATTAAAAAAAAACTAACATTTAAAATAATAACTCCCATTCAAATAACAAATGAAGCATTAATTCAATTTCACATTAAAAAAAAACTAACATTTAAAATAATAACTCCCATTCAAATAACAAATGAAGCATTAATTCAATTTCACATTAAAAAAAAACTAACATTTAAAATAATAACTCCCATTCAAATAACAAATGAAGCATTAATTCAATTTCACATTAAAAAAAAACTAACATTTAAAATAATAACTCCCATTCAAATAACAAATGAAGCATTAATTCAATTTCACATTAAAAAAAAACTAACATTTAAAATAATAACTCCCATTCAAATAACAAATGAAGCATTAATTCAATTTCACATTAAAAAAAAACTAACATTTAAAATAATAACTCCCATTCAAATAACAAATGAAGCATTAATTCAATTTCACATTAAAAAAAAACTAACATTTAAAATAATAACTCCCATTCAAATAACAAATGAAGCATTAATTCAATTTCACATTAAAAAAAAACTAACATTTAAAATAATAACTCCCATTCAAATAACAAATGAAGCATTAATTCAATTTCACATTAAAAAAAAACTAACATTTAAAATAATAACTCCCATTCAAATAACAAATGAAGCATTAATTCAATTTCACATTAAAAAAAAACTAACATTTAAAATAATAACTCCCATTCAAATAACAAATGAAGCATTAATTCAATTTCACATTAAAAAAAAACTAACATTTAAAATAATAACTCCCATTCAAATAACAAATGAAGCATTAATTCAATTTCACATTAAAAAAAAACTAACATTTAAAATAATAACTCCCATTCAAATAACAAATGAAGCATTAATTCAATTTCACATGCCTGATAAAAGTCAAATAGCAAATGCTAATTTCATCATATTAATAATATCAGAGTAATAATGTGTGACATAATATTTTCATAAGAAAACAACCTATAATAAGCAGATAATTACTACTACACCTTTACCGTTGACAAGGTGAAAAGTAGTTAGTAATTATGCAGCAATGTTTTTCAATTTAACTTTTTACCTGCAGCTTTGATATTCCCTGTAATGCACTTCTGTACGCAAGAAGAGAATGCCCTAAACCTTCACCCATATTCCTCAGAACTGTTGAATCAGTTAAGTCACGCTGCACATAACGTACAAAAATAAATATTCACTTCCAAAACAGAAAGCATGTCTCATTGTATCACCACCACTAAAATTAGATGAGAAAAATTCTAACAACTAGCAAAATCTGGAGCAGTGGTTCAAATGTTCTGTAAATTTCATTAAAAAATATCCCTAAATAATCATTCTGTTTGTAAAAAATATTATTAGAGCAGTGGTTCAAATTATCACATTGATAATCTGGAGCAGCAACTAACCTACAACACATGGTTAAATTATGAAAGCATTTGCTAAAAACAATAAGGAGCAAGGACTGGATGTAAAAAATTGGAAAGAGAGTCCACTAATGAGTAACTAATAGATAATAAAGACTACCGACTTCTCTAGCTTTGATACATAGAGCAGCCGCGGTAGTGGATGGTTGGTCTCTACAAGTCAACAAAGAACAGAGAGCATATCAAAAGGAGCCATTAAAATGTGGTTGCAGATTGCTAACTTAACACGTGTAGATAAAATTTCTAGGAATTATTCTGGCCTGCAAAAAATTATAGAGAAATCTAATAAAAACTGAAGTGAGAAGAAATTTCGAGCATGGAACAGACACCTGAGTCACATAGGGATTGAAACTTAATCCAAGAGATTTCACGAACTCCTCTGCAATTTGAGGCCATTTAATATCAAGTTATGCAACAAGATGTGCATTGTAATTTCTAACTGCACCAGCAAACTTCCCCATTATCTCAACTTGAGAAATATCCAGCCTTTCCCTGCTTAATCTGACAGCAAAAATTGCAATTTCCTTTCCAAGGGTGGTAGGTGAAGCTGGCTACAAAATAATAAACCAAATGAGTGATCTATTGATGACTCTATTAGCTCTAAAACCATTGTTCAAACACAATTGCATGCGCCACCATATGCCAGGCAGGTTAAGTATACAACTTTACTCAACAAAGCATATACCCCAACAATTTGAGTTGAAGTAAATAAACCATTTTCCTCCAATCAGTTGTAATTTTTCCATCAACTCCACTTCTTCCTTTTAGTCATCATATTTAGTTATTTTTAAGTGATTATGCATATTCTCGATGATCCAATGTATGAAGGGTACTAATCAGATGGAGCAGTCTCTCTCTCATGAATTGCAGTGCAACATCTATATATCTATTATTTTTTAAAATAAAAAATTCATCTACCTGCCCATGAGTGCGAGAAAACATGGGAACATGAGCATTAGCTTTAGCCATGTCACAAACTGCCTTAATTACCTCATCCATGACTGGAAATATGACAGTGTTCAAAGCTTCTTTCAGCATCAATGCATGGGCAAGATTGTTAATGTACTAAAGCTGGTCATTTTAGTATCGAAGAAACTGGAGGACAAGTTCAAACCTTCGCAATCTCTGGATGTGATTGGCATTTCTGTTTCAAGAAGTATTCCACTGCTTTCACATCATGGTTTGTCACTTTCTCTATATTTTTAACTTCCAAGGCATCGCTTATGGTAAATCCATCAATCAATCCTTGCAAGTAAGACAGTGCTTCCCCACTGAAGCTTGGAACCTCAGTAACTTCAGGAATTTGTGAAAGCTTTAAGAACCATCTGATCTGAATGAGGGCTTTAATTGTTAAGAAACAAACATTTCAATTTACCTTTGTATTGTTTTCCTCTCTTTTCTTTTGTTTTTCTCTTTTAACTTCTAATTTTATTCATAAACATAAAGCATCAAAAGAAGGTAGAACTACTTACCATTAATTTTGATGTACTTTTATACCATTTTCTGTTTGTGTAATTACTGTGCAGAGGGAGAAAAAAAAAATTCACAAGTAAAACTTGACAACCAAAAAGAAAATCAAGTGATTGCTTTGATCATAACAAAATAACACATATTTTATACATCGTATAATTCATAAATAGACAAATTAAATTGCATGTATATATGCAGATCTTAAAAGCAAAGAAAGAAAAAATCAAATAGAGACAAACTGAAATGAATCATCGATCATCACCTAATAGTGATTTGAGCAGAACAATAAGCAAAACTAGAAACGAAGAAGATACTGATTTCAGCAAAAAGTGGAAACAAAGCACAGAAGAAGAGATTCACGGAGCTGAAGAAACATCTGAGAAGACGAAGAGTTCCAAACAGAGCACAGAAGAAATATCTAACCTCTGATCGAAGAAGACGAAGATCACGGATCTGAAGAAGAGTTCCAAATCACGGTGCTCAAAATCGAACTTCGAAATCGCAATCGCTCTGTGCTCAACAAGACGAATCACCGAGCTAAAGAAGAATCACCGAATCGAGAGAGAACAGCTTCATATTGATTTGATCCCCTGAGAGAAAGAGAGTGAGGGAGAGATTCGAACTTCATATGTAGACGGCGGTGCTCAAAATAGGTTTTCAAAATAAAGGTTTGGAGAGACGGGATAGGGTTTGAGGGGAAGAGGATTTGGAGGCGCTTTTCAAACGTCTCCTAGTCACCAAACGGTACCGTTTTAATTAATAACAATTGCGACGTTTAAAAAACGCCGTTAATTTTGAAAAAAAAGTGACGTTTAACAAACGCCTTTAATTAAACGCCGTTAAATCTCTAAATTCTTGTAGTGATTTATGATCTTCCATCGGTTTCAATTTATCCTTACCATGGTGATAAGGACCAATAGCAAATGGGCCCCGCTAGTAGAGGGTGGGATTGGTCCTTAGAGATTAGTCGAGGTGCCTGTAAGTTGACCCGAACACTCGAGTTATAAAAAAAAAGGACCAATAGCAACTACTTCTGGTTCATAAGCTTCCTTGCTTTGATTGCGCAGTGGATCACGTACTTCAAAGATGCAACACTCAGATGCTATAGGAGGCAACTGAGCAAGCCTTTTTTCTATAGGAAGCTTTTTATCTATAGCAAGCTTTTTTATCTATATCGATCACAAGATCAGCACTTGGCTCTGACATTGTACCGTGTCTGTCATGGACAAAAATGAATTAAATCACATGTACAATTAATCAACCGCGCAAATTGCATTTTTCAACTTGATTTTCATTGCAATAAAATATGAATTAAATGCTATGTTTGGGAATAGCTTTTTTTTTTTTTTTAAATAGTAGACAAAATACACTAAAATAGTGAATAAGATAAAATGGCACATCTTATACACCAATTAATCACTTTTTCTCTTACAACCAGTGGTGAGCCAAGAAATTAAATCAGAGGGACATTTATTAATTACAATATTAAAATTTTTTATAAAAATATTTCACATAAATTTTTACCATTAACTTCAAGAAAGATAAAAAAAAAAAAAAAAAATGTGTTTAGTTTTAGTTTTCTGAATTCAGTTTTCTGAAAACTAAGTTTTTTATTTTTCATATTTTTTTGATTTTAGTGAATAATTTTTAAATTTTAAACAAGCTTTTTACTTTTTTAGATGCACATTACTTAGATATGTATCCAAATAGTAAAATATTTGGGAAAAAATATTTTAAAAAATTAATAAATATACAAAAATATAAAAAATGTACTGAATTTGCATATTATTTTTATATTTTTTTGGTATTTAGTGTATTTTTTAAAGATTTTTTTCACAAATATAATACTTTTTAGGTATATTTATGTTAGGTGTGTCTAAAAATTAAAAAAAAATTGCTTAAAATATTAAAAAAATTTATTGAAAACATTAAAATACAAAAAATAAAAATGTAAAATTTTTTGAAAACTGTTTTCTGAAAACTAGAACAAAATATGCTAAATATTATTTGTAATTAGTGTATCATGGATAATATTAAAAAAAATCATGGATATAAAGTTTTAAAATAAATTATATAATGAGAAAATAATTTTTTATACAAAATATGCATAAAAATTCAATATAATAGCTATACCATGTCTTCATTAACATGTGATATCACCAATCAATAGTAAAGACACATATGGAGAATGAACGCTACATGTCAAATGTAACTAACAATTCAATAAATTCTAAATTTTCATTGAGATTAATTATGTTTGCATATCAATAGTGATAGACATCACCATTATATTAGAATTTTCATAGATAATAATATCTTAATCACTTTATTTTCAATCAAAATAACCATTATTATTCTTATTATTTTAAAAATGTCATTGACATTTAAAATAATATTTTTATAAATTTTTTTATTTAAAATATTTTCTTTATGTTTGCTTAAAAAAAAAAATCCAAAACCCGGGACAGGGGGCACGTGACCCCCCGGGGCCCTTGTTAGCTCAGCCCCTGCTCACAACCATCTATTTAATTACAAAAACAAATCCACAAATCATCACAAATACACTTTTTTAATCTCATAAACTAACTAAAATAGTCATATTCCCAAACAGGCCAAAATGCAAATTAAGACTTGAGCTTCTTAAAACACAATAAACATGACAATAAAATATAATTTTCAATGTGGAATACTCTCATAACAACAAAATTAAAACATAAGCGTAAATTACACTTACATTTGCTGAGATTTAGCATAATTTCATAAACCTCCCTGGTGGTTTCAATAATAATACTGACCTTCCTTACTTTTAAAACTATTATCAAGATTTTTCCACTATTAATCTTTCATTAGACCATTTAACAGAATTTGTTGATGTAATATGTTATAAGGCCCAAAATGTCAAGATAGCACCTTAGTTACCTTAGCTGTTCAATGGTAAATTTCACTCACCTCCACTAAAGTTTTGCATATGAATTAACAAACACCATTGCATATTTTAGCAATGTTGAACAAAATTCTTAAATTCCATATAATATTAAACAAAACAACTAAATTGTTAAGATATTATTAAAATACCTAACAAAAAAATAATTACTATGTTTGGTTTCAATTTTTTAAATTTATTTTTTGAAAATTGAGTTTTTTGTTTTTCGTGTTTTTTTGTTTTTAGTAAATATTTTTAAAATTTAAAGAATTTTTTGTTTTGCTTTTTTAGATGCACCTTACTCAGATGTATCTAAAAAGTAAAATATTTGTGAAAAAAATATTTCAAAAAATTAATAAATACACAAAAATACTAAAAATATACTGAATTTTTGGAATTTTTTTAATTTATATTTTTTGTATTTAGTGAATTTTTTAAATATTTTTTTACAAAAATTATACTTTTTAAGTGTATTTATGTTTGGTGTGTCTAAAAATTAAAAAAAAAATTACTTAAAATATTAAAAAAATTCACTAAAAACAAAAAAATACGAAAAATAAAAAAATAGAATTTTCTGAAAAATATTTTTAGAAAACCTGAACCAAGCAATTTCATTGATAAAATACATAGAAAGAAATAATATATCTCTAAAATCAATATTAGATAACACTTATTTCACGCTACATAAATAATGTAAAATCTATTATTTTGATTAATGCGTTTATTATTTAATTTTTTTTAAGTTAAAACAAATAAACTTCTTTTTTAGTAAATAAAATGAACTCATCGGATCCATAAAAGAGTACTTGAATATAGCATATTTCCATAATTAGGTCATGTTTTACTGCATAAGTCAGATATGCTTTCAGTGCTTTGGCCTCGTTTGTTTTGGGAGATAGAATGGAGGGGATTGATAGTGAGGGGATTAATAGTGAGGAATTGTTAAATTATTTTTGAGAGGGAGATTTATGATTTGGATTGGGCCGTGGTAATGGCCGGACAAATTGTGGGCCGAACATATTTGGGCCGTGGCAGCTTGGACCCATCCAGAAAGGATTTTTGCTCGGTAATGGCACAGTTGCTGTGGAACCGAGCTACTTGGGCTTATTGGTGCGGAAGCCGGTCAAGTGAGGGTTCGGCCGAGATGACCGTAGCCTCACTTGGTTCCACGATTCATGCATTAGCTCGGCAGGAAGGCCGACGGCTAACCAGCATGACTTATCCCAAGCTTGGCTTGCCGAAATGCAACCGAGCTCGGTCGTCATTGAGCTTGGCGAGCGAAGCGCTCTGGCTAGCTATGCAGCACGGCCGTTGATAGCCGAGATGCTGCAGCCAGGCTGCCAAGCTCCCAGTAGTGTGGGCTGGCAGTTCGGTTAGGTAACGTTCAGCTAGATTTGTGCTGACAGATGGGATAGCAGCACCACGTGTCGAGAGACTAATGGGAGTAGATTTGGGGCGCAGAAGGTATATAAGCATGTCTGCGCCCCTATGCCGTAATAGATGAACATTGGGTGAGACTTACACTAAACACTCAACTCTCTCCTCTCTCACTCTATCCCTGTGTGTGTTCTAACTTGATCGTCGGAGGGATTTTTCGGCCACACAGCGCCGGGTAGCTCACCGCCGTTGTGCTTGCAGGTCGATCGGACAGACAAGGGCTTGGAAGAAAGGAGTGCGAACTTGCATGAATATTCGCTCCCCGTACAATTGGCGTCGTCTGTGGAAAAACTATTGAACAAAACCTTGTCTTCCATGTTCATCTGATCGCCTTGCATGGTGAACAACGACGAGATTCCGTTGTCCACCATCGACGGTGCCACCCCGGAGTTTGCCAGACGGAGAGAAGGACTCCCCGCCGTTCTTAACATGGCGGACTTAGAGACTTCTCCAGGAGGACATTCTAGAGACACGCGGGATAAACGCGGAAGAAGCTTTGGTCATTTGCGGAGTCCAGACGGATACCGACGGCAGAGAGAATCGCACGCCCGACGTCTGGAACACAAGCTAAGGGACCAAGACGCCGTCATCCGGAGAATGACGGCAGAGATGGAGGATCTTAAGCGGCATGTCAAAGGGAAGGGTGTAGCTGGAGTGGGAGACCATAGTGAGCGCACCCAACCCCACCGTTCAGGCAGTCAGAGCCAGCGACACACCCCGTCCCTTTTCATCACCAAAAATTATAAGGTTGGAGATTTCGACGCGCATGCAGAGAAGTCTAGCGCACAAGATAGTACCTATCAACCCTTACATCCGGCGACAACGTCGAGATATTCCTATTCCGCTCGCTCAGAGGACTTGCGGGCAATCTTGAAAGAGTGGGCACGCCGACGGGAGGCTCAAAGGGTGCCGGCGCTCCAGCGGCTTTCTTACGGGGGACGCATCAGTGAAGAGGTCGTAATGCCACCACTACGCCCAGTTGTGCCACTCCTCCTAGACACGGATTTGGCAAGGCTGAGCGTCTCCCCTTTCTCCCTTGAGATAGAAATCACTCCGCTCCCCGCGGGCTTCTACCAGCCAAAGTTCACGCTCTACGACGGAAAGACTGATCCATACATGCATGTAAGCCACTTCTAACAGGTCATGGCCGGTCATAGGCGGAATGACGCTCTTATGTGCCTTATCTTCCCATCAAGTTTGGGCGAGCTGGGCTTGAAATGGTTCGAGCTGCCAGAGGGGAGCATCTAACGGTGGCAGTAATTTGCGGAAGCCTTTGTGACGCGTTTCAAAACCAACACCAGGACGCCAAAGGAAATTGACCACCTTCTTAGTGTCAAGATGGAGCCGAGCGACACACTCAAGGCATACAACTCTAGATACTGGGAAACTTTTAATGAGATCATGGATTGCCCGGTCAACCTGGCAATCACACAATATAAGCGTGGTCTCCCGGTCAGACATAGATTGCGGGACTC